TGATTTGAACTTCAATATTTAGTGGATAATTTGAAAGTCTTCCTTCTAAGACTTTCTGCCACTTTTCAAAATTGATGCAGTAAATACACGAGGCACTGATATGTTATTACATAGAAATCTATAAACTAAAATAAACCAAAGATCATTTAGCTCTTTTGAGCGGAATTATGCTTAAGCATTTCAATAAATTGGTTTGGATCTGTGAAGGGCACAAACACATCATCCAAAAATGAGTCGTCGTCGCTTTCCTCTCTCGTTGCGTTCAAACTTTGTGTGCGCACAATCTTCTCCTTTATCAAATCTAGACAACAAGCAGTTAATTAAAATCAACAATGTAAACAGAACAATGTGCATAAAATCACTTAAGATATTTAAAAAGCTAAGGTAGTAACCTGGCTTACGAAGAGGACTACCGTCCATGGTCCGGTACCGTTGTAGAGGTGTTCTAAATGGAACAAGAAAGTACAAATGATTTGTCATGCAGGAGTTTAAAAGCAATCTTCTAAGGAGTAACGGTTTAGCCAGGTTTTGAAGGAGCTTACGCTATTATTCCGCTATGCTTTGGTGTACTTGTAGTAAATCTCTGGGAAGGACGAGCCAAAGAAGGAGTCAGAATAGTTTCCCTGAAACTAGATTTTTACAGCAGCTTTAAGCACCAACTGCGAGTTCGACACTTACCCCTTCCTCTTCAATACATTCAGTGATGTTGGTGAGCTAGCGACAGGCGATATTGGTCTGAGTGGAGTTCGCTGTAGAAAATGAAGGTATAAGAACTGCAGTTGTTGAACTTAGAAAAAATAGAGACCTTAGCACTCGGCTCCACCTTGTCTGCATCGCCTTCGCTTCGTAAGCGCTGTCGCAGCTTAGCTATACGAAAGTTATGGGTGTAAGAACTTTAAAGCAATTTACGCAATACCAAGTGATGCCATTCCAGCAGCGAGACCCTCTTCCATTGACAGTCTCTTATTGCATGGTTCCTCCTTCTCTTCCAACATTTCATTGCTCTCTGGTTCTCTGCGTCGCTTACGTGAGAAAAGTTTCGTTGACCGAATGGTTCGGTGAGGAGTGGTCTAGATAGAAATTATTTGTTGACCGTTGCTCATAGAATTGTGGAGCTTCACCTCCTACTTTCGGTCTAAGAAATCACAATTTAACATTCAGAAAGAGATAACTGATCTACAGTTTTTCTCAAACAATTTGGATTGTGCTTCTGCCACTGTAGCCCAAGTTTGAGA